GGGATCCTCGCCAGCCAGCCGGGATCGAACCCATGCCACAGAAGCTGCAGACAGCTTCACAGTGCGGCGCTCAACTGCCTGCGCCACTCCAGATTCTTACTGAGAGTTGGCTGGGAGCTGCCTGGGCTCCTAGGAGCCACCCACAGTTCCTAGGGACAGCTGCCGTGATCCTCTCCATGGGAAGCTCACAGCACAGCTATTAGCTGTTTCAGGGCTAACAGGAGACTCTCTCATCTGCATAAGATCTGACACATCTCATGTAACCTAAGGTAATGAACTTATCCAAAGGAGTTTACCGCACCACCTTTGCCATATTCTCGCTGCTGACAGCAAGTCACAGGTTCTACCCACACTTTACGTGAGAGGATCATTCAGCATAGCCACAAAGGGTGGAGATCATCGGGTCATCTCAGAATTCTGCATGCCACAGTAAGTCTTAGCTGGGAAGACCCCCGTAGGCCATAGTTAGGAGTCTGAACTTCATTCTGTGGGAGACAGGAAACCATTGAATGGGCATGGAAAGGCAGAAGGGAAAGCAAAGGGAAAGCGGCCATGGCCTTTGGAAGCTGATTGTCATGGTTCAGGGGAGAGGATGGGGCCAGTGGCCATGGATGGAGAAGAGACACAAAATCCACCTGGCTGGCCCTCATTTCCTTTTGGTGTCTCCTGAAATGTCACCTGATCGGCAAGGCTCTCCCTGTCTACCTAACAGAAAATAACTACCCTGCCTCCTCTCCCAGTCCCTCACCCAGCCTCATGGACTCCCAGAAGCACTTTCACCATCTGTCATGCTATGTTCTTGCCTATTTATCTGCTTGTTAATTTCTCCTTCCTCGTAGAATGTAAGAACCTCTTTTGGGGCCTCCCTGGTGGCCTAAGGGTTAAGTCTAGGTGATATCATGACTACAGCCTGAGTTCATTCCTGGCCAGGGAGCTACCCACATGGCGCAGCAGACCTCTCCTGTCTCGCCCACTGCTCCCCTCAGCGTGTGTTTCAGCAGATCCGCCTGTTTTGTTTCCCACTCTCTCTGGTGAATCCTCTCACCTCCCCACTCCCATCCCCCACACTTCTGGCGTACACCCAAATTCTTCTACAAATAGATAAATAAATCTTTTTTAAAAAGAAGAAGAAGAACCTCATTTGATTTACTCCTTTATTTCTAGTCACTAGACCAGTGCCTGGGGTGTAATAGGTGCTCAGTAAATACTTGCTAACTAAAAGAATGAATGAAAGAGCTTAAGAGAAGTTATGACAATAGACTTGCTAAGCTTCATATGATTAAAATGTGGCAGCAGGAAAAGGATGGATTAGTGATGTTCTGAGGCTTCTGTCTTGGATTGCAGGGTGGTGCTCAGAGACAAGGGGAGGAATAAATCAAAATAGGAAGTAGACACAGAGTGAAAGTTTGGTCTAGTGGATCTGAGATGGCTGGGTTCAGTTCGCTCAGGATATCTAGTGGGAAGATGCAAATGTGAGATTCAGGGATTATGAGATAAATGAGAAATAAGGGACTAGATTATGAAGTCAAGGCTAACCAGACATAGGTGAAGTCATGGTGTTAAATGAGAGAAGAGAACCAAGGACTCCCCCTTGGGAAAGAGGAGCCAGTCTGATAGGGGAAGACATGGAGGTGCTAAGGAGAGAGTTCTAAGAAGGAATGTAAGTCACAATCAGTGCTAGAGAGAGTTCACGAAAACAAGGAGAACTGAAAGGGTTTGGTGATTCATGGTCTCTGGGGACCATGTGAGAGCAAGTTCATGCGATATTGAAGGAGGGTGTCAGTCACTCCATCAAGGGGGAAAGTGAGAACAGATTTGATAGCAAGGAAGGGAGAAGGGGAAAGGGAGCAGATCAAAGACCAGGCAAAGGAGATTCGGGGATGGACAGGAGTTGATGCCATAAACATGCAGAATTAGCAAACTCACCTGAACATTCCCTCCCCTCCACTGCCCCAGCTCTCCCATCGGTGGGACACAGAGCAGGCACTAAAGGAGCTAAGGAGAGGAGCAACTGGGGTGGAGAATACATCTGTGTCCCTTGAACTTGCCCCTGGCCTTGGGCTTATGTGGGCTGTTGGGAACAACTTAAAAGGGCATAGTCAGTGGGAACCCAGGCGTACCCAGGACTTCTAGACTGCCTGTCACCTCTGCTCTTCAGGTTTGTGACCAATCACAGCCCTATGGCAGGCGGCATTTTCTAAAAATGGCCGTAACTATCTCCCGTCCTATAATGTGACTGACACTTTCCCATCCAACGATAAGTTCTGTGTCCTTTGCCTTGAACTAAGTGGACCTTTGTGACCATCTCAACTCATTAAATTGGGAATATCTTGGGTGACCTCATTCTTGTGATTGGGTCTCATGGATGGACAGGGCCATGTGGCTTCCACAGGTTTCTCCCCCTTGGGACATGTGTCTTTGAAGTCCTAAGCCACTATCTAATAAGTCTGATTATCCTAAAACCGCCAAAGAGAGAACTTCCTTCCAGGCTCAGCTGAGCTCCCAGCCAAGACATCCAGGCCACACCTGCCACCATAACTCTTAAACATAATCTATATTGCTGCCCACCCCTCCTTCCCCCACTGTGCCTTCCCTAAAAAAGCCAGCTCCATTACCTCATATACACCCCTCTAGAGTCCCGGGGTAAGTGATAAGCAAGCTGGCCCTGGACAGAGTGTCCACCCTGAACCTGTCCTGCTGGTGGCAGGCACAGGTCACCTGCCCAGTTCCCAGATTCCCACCTACTCCACTCCAGGAACCATGGAAAATCCAGAGACCATCCCAGCTGCACTCCAGGAAGAAACTAGGCAGACTGCCCAGAATTATACAAAATGAACTTTGGGCTGATTGCCCAAGCTGGACTAATGCCCCCACCTTCTTCAAAAGGACACTCTTTCCGGAACAAAGGCCACAACTTGTCACAACAGCCAGATGTTAGCAAAGCAGGCCAGATGAGGTGGGAGGATCTCCTTGGGGTAGATAAGGCACATCCCCGATGCCTGTCCCAAACCATCAGTCAGGGAGGGAAGGCAACATCCCAGGCAGGGAGTGCTGTCATCTTCCTTATTTCAGGCAGCCCAGTTGCTCTGGAGAATGGGACTCATCCCCTTCATCCCTCAGTCTTCAGAGTGAGATAAATCAAGTCTGGGGAGTGTAATACGATGGTACTCCGTAAAGCAAAACTACTAAGTCAGAACCAGGAAAAATTTATTTCATATCCTGTATTTGGGTTAGGATATATGTAGCGTGCACCCTTGCATCATTTAAGAGAGAAATTGCTTTTATTATTATTATTATTATTATTATTATTATTATTATTATTATTTAAACTGCTTAGTTGTCAGTTTTTTATTCATTTAATAAATATTCCTTGAGAATCTATGATATGCCAAGCATCACAAGGAAAAGGCATATTTTGGGCCTCCCTGGTGGTTCAGGGGTTAATATCTCAGCACTATCAAGTTATTACCAGTCACTGCAGCATGAGTTCAATCCCTGATCAGGAAGCTGACCCACATGGCACAGCAGACCTCTCCTGTCTCACCCGTTGCTCCCCTCAGCAGTATCTCAGTAGATCTGCCTGCTCTGCTCCCCACTCTGACTCTGGTGAATCTTCTCAACCCCTGTACCTCTGGCCTACATCCCAGTTCTTGTATGTATAAATAAATTAAAATAAATATTTCAAAAAAGAACAAGACATATTTCACAAATACATATCTGTGAAGACATGCAAAGAATAACTCTAAAACAGTGGTTTCCCACCAGGGTTCCCCAGGGGACATTTGTCAATGTCCAGAGACTTTTTGGACATCAAGTGGGTAGAGGTCAGGTATGCTGTAAAATATCCTACAGGACAGACTGTAAAATGCACAGGACAGACCCCACGGCAATGAAAACATTTGGACCAAACATTAGTGCCGAGACTGAGAACCCCTGGTCTAGAAGGTTACACAAGAAACAGGTGGACAGTGGCTGCCTGTGCAGCAGCAAACTGGGAGGCCAGGATAATGGCTATATAAGATGACTGCTTCTCATTGTGTGCCATTGTGAACCATTTTGTTGAGAGTTTCTTCCTGAACGCACGTATTATATGTTTTTAAAAAAATAACTGTGACTGAATTCAGCCATAATTCCTTGCTAGTTTTCTACTGATTGTTGGAGGAATCAAATTTAAAGAGGAGGGAAAATGAGGGAATGCCACAGTACTGGTCTGGCAGCCAGTAAATCCCTAGGGTCTCCCCTAGTCCAGGGTTTCTCAACCTCATTTCCACTGACAATATGGCCCAGGTCTTCCTTTGTCACGGGGGCTGTCCTGTACATTATGAGTTGCTGGTGACTTTTGCCCACCTGATGCCAGTAGCACCCCTCCACCCATGTGATAGATAAAACTTCTAAATATTTCCAAATGTCCTAGGAAGGAGGGGGGTGGTGGAAGCCCTATGTTGGAAACCATTTCACTTGAACTATTCAGTGAAAAACCAAAGACTGACCACATGAACTTCAAGTCCAGCTCGATTCTCCTACAGGTTTTCTTTAACTGGGTAAATTTCAATCTCTAGTAAGTCATATAAACACAAATGGGTAGTCTTGGCAGTTGCTTTTTCATTAAGGCTGGAAAACCACAGGGGTTTCCCTCTGCTGATGGCTGTGGCCTCTGGCTCTGACTTCATAAAGAGCCACTATGATGTCACCGGCAGAGCCTATATAAGCCCTGCCCCGACTACAGCTGTGTCCTTAGGAGCCAGGAAGCTTTGGGATAGTGACCTGTGGACTCGGACAGAGAGAGAGAGAGCGAGAGAGAGTGTGTTTTTGGTTTATTTGGTTTTCTTTTATTTATTTATTTGTTCATTTACTTATTCAGTTATTTATTTTAGTTATTTATTTTAGTTATTTTATTTTTATTTCTTTGGTTTTTTTCTTATTTTCCTTTATTGTTTTATTATTTGCTTATTTTTTTCTATTTTTAATTTTTTTCTTTATTATTTTAATTTTTGGTTTTTTATTTCAGTTTTTATTTTTTATTTTTTCTGTTTTTTTCAGTTCCCCCATTTTCCCTTCTGTTGTTATTTTGTTGTTCGTTGGTTTTTTTCCCTTTGTTGTTTGTCTATTTTTTTTTTTAGTTATTAGTTTCTAATTGTTGTTTGTTCTCTTGTGGTTTGTCCTTTTTGTCTTTGTTGTTGTATATTTTATTCTTAAATTTAGTAGTTGGTTTATAATTGGTTTGTTTTATCATATTTTTAAATTTTAATTTTTTTGGTTACATTTTCATTTATTTTTTAGTTAGTATTAGTTTAGTTAGTATTAGTATTATTAGTAAGTTTAGCATAGTTAGTATTATTGGTAGAGTAGTTAAGTTAGCACCGTTAATATTTAGTTAGCTTAGTTCTTTTTTGAGTACTATTAACATTAGCTTAATAGTACATTTGTTAATTAATAGCAGAGCTAGTGCAGAGTTAGCTCAGCACTATCAGCATAGTAAGATCTGCTAAGTGTAGTGAGCGGGATCCACAACTCACTATGCTTAGGCGCCGCCCTCCCAAGGACGTGAAGATCAAAAATTACGCGGTGCTCGGGGCGCTGGGGGAGGGCTTCCACGCCAAGGTGAAGCTTGCGCTGCACACACCCACGGGCACGGAGGTGGCCATCAAGATCATCCGGAAGGACAAGGTGGCCCACCGCAAGTGGCTAGCCAGCGAGGTGGGGTGCATGAAGGCGCTTTGCCACCCAAACATCATTCAGCTATTCCAAGTGGTGGACACCAGAGACGAGCTGCTGCTGGTGATGGAGTACGCGGAGGGGGGCAACCTGGAGGACTACCTGCACCAGCACGGGCGCCTGAAGGAGAGCGAGGCCCGCCAGATATTTTGGCAGCTTCTCTCGGCCCTCTCCTATTGCCATGCCAAAGGCATCGCGCACAGAGACCTGAAGCCTGAGAACCTGCTCTTAGACCAGCACAAAAATATCAAGGTGGCGGACTTTGGACTCGGTGTCCAGTGCGCCAACCAGGCGCTGAGTACATACTGCGGAAGCCCAGAATTCACGGCCCCGGAGATCTACCTTCACCAGATGTACAAGGGCCCCACGGCGGACGTCTGGAGCCTAGGAGTGATCCTCTACAACATGGTCACCGGGGAGATGCCCTTCGTGGGGACCAACGCCCGGGAGCTCCGGGATAGTGTCCTGAGTGGGCACTACTATGAGCCTGACTACCTCTCGGAGCAGTGCCGGGACCTGCTACGGGAGTTGATGGTGCGGGACCCCCAGAGCAGAAGCGCCTTAGAAAGCATCATCCAGCACCCCTGGGTGAGAATGAAAAACGGACTCCTGCCCTGGCGCGAGCCAGCCCACGGCCACCACGACAATGCCATAATAGAAGCCATGGTCAGCATGGGTTATGAGAGACACGAAATTGTCAGGGCGCTTGAGGAGGGGAAATATAACGATGTCATGGGGACATACCTGATACTCCACTACAGGAAGCGGGAGGAGGAAGGTTGGGGCCACGCCTTCTTCCGCGAGCCTTCCCCTCCTCCTGTGGCCCCCTGGGACCTGGCTTCGGAGGCGTGCCCCCCGCAGCCTGAGGTTAGCGGGGAGGATAAACTACGGATCGTGTCATGTTACCTGCAGACACAGGAGTTCACCCCGGGGAGCAAGCACATCTCTGAGAGTTCATTCCAGCTGGAGGATGCCACCACCATGCCAGGCCTCCAGCTGGAAGACGCCTGGGGTCCCAGCACCACCTACGTGCCAACCGCACTGCTGATGGATGCCTGGGAGCCAAGCACCGCCACCTTGCCAGGGCCCCCGCTGGAAACGGTCAGGGAGCAGAGCAGCACATCCTTGCCAACCCCCCAGCTGGAGGGCCCTGGGGAGCACAGGACCACCTCGGTTCCAGGCCCCCCCCTGGAGGGGGATCAGGTACGCAGGAGCAAAACCTCCAGCCCAGCCCCCCAGCCCTCCATCACCACCCAAAGACCTCCCCCAAGAAGCCGCTGGAGCTTCCTGTTTCACAGCAATGCAGTGGCCCCTGCAGAAGGAGTGGGCCATGAAAATGATGGTTACAAGTCCAAGTCCACTGTTAATTCCAACCAAGGTAGAAGGGCCAAAGCTCGAAGAATAATCAATACTCTATTAAAATGTTGCTGCTTTTGCGCACCATGCCACTGAAAATACCTCCACAGCAGAGTTTCACACAGCCAGAGACTAAGAGTATTACCACCACACTCTGTAGAATTCCCCACCTCCAAAGGGCAGCCACCCAGTGACCATGGTGAACAGGAGCACACCAGGGGAGAGCGAGGCTCTGGAGAGGGATCAGGGGCTGAGCCCAGTCAGAGGGCCAGAAGCAGCATGAGACGTGTCTTGGAGCACAGATGTCCGGGCAGCACAGAAGTCCAAGGAGCAGAGCAGGTGAAGGGCCAGGTGAGAATGGAACTGGTGAAGAACCTAGAGGGGAGCAGAGCGGGTGAAGGGAGGGAGAGGAGGAGGGGTTGGGGGCAGCTGAGCAGGTGACCAGCCTGGGATGGGAGTGGACCTGTACATGGGTGGAGCCTCCAGAGGCCTCAGGGCCGGAGGTGGGGGAACCCAGAGCCTTGCCTCTGTCCCATGACAGGCTCTGTCCCATGAGGACCACCCTGCCCCTTGCTGGGAGAGCCCTGCTGTCAACCCACTGGACATACAGATGGCACAGAGAACGCAGGAGCTCTTCAGTCTGAGTGGCATTGTCATTGACTGACATCAATAGTACCAAGTCCCCCTGGATTTGGCCCATTTTAAAAACTGAAATTCCATATTGGAGAATCGCTCACCCACCAGTTAGTGGCAGCTGGGTAGGGCCTCCTGGTTTTCATCTGAACTTTGTCAAATCTACCTCTAAGCAACACTCCCCGGGGGATGTCACTAACAAAAGAGCATCCTAAACAGTTAACTCTGTGCTTGGGCTTTATTGTCTCTTCTCTTCCAATGCATGTCGGGATGGCACGAGGAGGCAGCCACGATGGACACACTGGCTTCCCACTACAGGAGGACCTCCAGGTGACCTGCTCTGCCTGTGGAGCACTGGGGCGTGGAGGCATCTGAACGTTCTTTTTCTGCCTGAAGGAGACGGTCTGAAATGGATTGTTTAGTTAAAATGTCCATCCTATGACACATTAAATCCATGTTTGAAACCAGCTGCATTTGCTTCACATTTATGAATGCACCCATACTTCAAACACATGGGTCATCAGATACCTAAATTTCCTTTAAAATTCCTATAATCAACAGTGAAAATTTTAGAAAATTTAGAAAATTTTAAAGCATTTAGAAAATTTTAGAAAAATCAGATTGGTCAGATGGTAATAATACAGTGAAATAGGATAGTGAAACAGACTTACCAATGAGTATGTAATTAGGTATTTGCACTATTTTCTTTAGGTATATGTGCATGTCTTGCACAGTGTCTGTGCAAGTGTGTGCATGTGAGTCTGTGCATGTGTGTGTGCATGTGTGCTTTCATAGGTATGAAGTGTTCATGTACCTTCTACTATCAGAAAGACACTCAGAGCTGTAGAGAATTGGTATAATGTCTTCAAAAGTGGGCCTCCCCGGTGGCATGAGGGCTTAAGCACAGCAGTGTGAAGCTATGGGCAGCCTCTGCAGCAGGAGTTCCATCCCCAGCCAACCAGGAAGGTGACCCACATGGGGCAGCAGACCTTTCCTCACTCACCCACTGCTCCCCTCAGCAGTGGATTTCAGTTGGTCTGCCTTTTCTGCTCCCCACTCTCTCTGGTGAATTCTTTCAACTCCCCCCCAACCTCCGCACCTCTGGCCTGTACCTCAGTTCTTGTGCACATAAATAAATCTTTAAAAAATTTTTTTTAAAGTTTGGTAGAATTCACCCATCAAACCCTAGTTTATTCTAGCTTAGAATTGTATTATTAAGGGCCTGCCTGGTGGTGCAGGAGTTAAGTCTCAGTGCTATGAAGCTATCACTACCACTGTGGTAAATGTTTGAGAGTTTGATCCACAGCCCAGGAGCTGAACCACAGGGCGCAGCAGACCTCTCCTATCTTACCACTGCTCCCCTCAGCAGTGGATTTCAGTGGATCCACCTGTTCTGTTCCCCACTCTGTCTCTCTTGAGTCCTCTCACCCCCTGCACCTCTGGCCTGCACTCCAGGTCTTGTATGCATAAATCTTTCTAAAAATGGGTATTATTCAATTTGGCGGCAATTTTAATGCTCAATATTCAAAACACGATATCCTTACTTTGAAATGGAACATCTGTTTTTGTTTACTGTATTTGAAGATTTCATAGAAGCAACATGACATTGGACTTTTTTATTAGTTCCAACAAATGCTTATGTTGATGTGCATTTTTCAGGTAATTAGAAAAAAATTAGAGTAAAAAACATATTTTGATACTAAATCATAAAGTGCTTATTTGAAAATCTTAACTATAAGACTGAAATTGTTACATATTTTTCCTATTTTTCCTAATTCATTTAAGATTTATCTGTTGGTAAGTTAGCATATTTTAGAATGTACTAGTTAAATACAGTATGAATTATATACTGTATTTTTTGAAGACTTCTTAGGTGATTTACAACTTAGAAAATATCACTAGATTTTATATATGTGTTACTAATAAATAATATCACTAATTTTAACAGTTTGTAATATTGTTTATCTCCCACATTTTTCCATATAATATCATATAACATGGTATATATCATATAATGTGTTCTTATACCATATACATAGCCCAACAAACAGATACAAGGATGTGAAGAGAGAAGATAGTGTGTGGGGGAAAGGGTGGCCGTCCAAGTCTCCTGCTGGAAGTGTTGATCACAGACCCCTGAGCATGGATGGGGGGCCCCAGCATTTCTCTGAGCTTATCACAGAGGAGGAAATAGGGGTGGTGGTGATGTGGCCAAAGTTACACAGTGTACAATGTTGGGTGAAGCTAGCATGATTCTATCCCATGTAGCATCTCCAGATGTTCCTGGAGATCATCCAGGTTCTATATCCACTGTCGAGCACTGTGGGCACCCTGGAGTCTCAAGGCAGCCTCTGGAAAAGGGATCGCCTAAGATGGTGCATGGTAAGCAGCGGATGTTTCCCGCAACCACCCTCTATTTCTATACAAGCAATCACTCAAGTGATCCCTGGTCCAGCAGGAGATTCCAGTGGAAACCACTTGTTTGCAGACACACAGAGGTGCCCCCGAGGGGCTGGATGATCTCACCAGCAGCTGAGCGTGGCAGACCTACGAAACGTCCACAATCACTGCGGCTATGGCCCCGAATATCACTATCTTGTTTCAGCTCCTTGTGGAAATTCAGATCAGGTGAGCAGTGAAGTCAGCCAAGGCAGCAGATGCTTTTTTTCTTTCTTGTACAATAAGTCAGGTTGCTCTTCTCACCATGAAAAACCCAAACTTTGAAACCAGACGTTCAGGGTCTACAATCCCATTCTGCTACTTCTGGGAAGTAGTTGTGAACTCAGACAACTTACTTAGCCTCTCTGAGCCTAGGTAGCTGCATCAATTAAAGGGCAATGATAACAGTAATCTCTTCATTGTGTCCTTGGAGTCATCTGAGGTAAAATATGTGACTTTCTTAGCCCAGTGACCCACACGCTATAACTACAAGTCACACGATTCCTGCTGCTATTATCGTCTTATTAATCACAAGTAAAATAATAAATACCTCACCATGGCTCATAAGTGGGTAAGTGGAGCCCAATACAGGTTTTCACAAATGAATTACAGTTTGGGGACCAAAGGACTGGAAAACTAATGAGAAATTTCTGGCCATTTACCTCACATTTCCCCTTCCCCCCATCCCGTGTTGGAAAATAAAAGGATCTTTTAAAAACACATTGTAATGGTGGTTTAGCTCATCTGAACAGCTAAGTCAGGATTGCCCTGTTCTTGGTTTCGGCTGTCTTCCAGCTGCGGTGTTTTTCTCATTGATCAGAGAGAAATCCCCAAGGTCTGGCAAAGGAAGCTTTTAATTGCTCTGGATGGACCGATTTTTGGCTTAACTGCTCAAGCATATAATTGAGTGAGAGAGAAGAGAGAGAGAATGAATCACTTTGAGATTGCTTTGAGATAAACACATAGTCAGACAACCCCCGTCCTGACCAGCCCTAAAAGATGCCCTGGCCAGTTCCTACAAGCTCGGGGCAGTGGGGGAGGGGAGTGGTTGGAGGTGGCACGGGTATCACACATTTTCCTGATCTTTATCAAATAATAATGAGTGACAGTAACAATCCCTACCTTTTTCACATGTGCTTGCTATAGGTTACATTTCCCCAGAAGCTGACGGGTGAGACAAGCATTCTGCTCAATCTACTTTATTTGGAGATAACCTTGGAAGCACCAGGAAGGGAGTGAGAAAATGAGACAGAATGAGGGGCAGTCAGTAAAGGAAGTGCTATTAAAGGGGTTATCAAGGGGGTACCCGGAGCTTAGTCCCCGGAGAACTGTGCAGGGGCCTCCATAGAACACACACTTCAGCATCTCTCATTCAAGGCACAAGGGAGCTGGCGAATTTATACCCCAAGTTCATCAGTCACTGGGTAAGGGTTGCTACTTGGAGGGACAGGGAGTTTCATTCCGGTTACCCCCAATACATACAACTATGGGACACCCTGGGACACAAGAAACAGCAGTGGGAAACCCAACCTTCTGGGACAGGATGAGGGGGCACCAACATCACCCAAATAAAAGATAACCTAAAAATAATCCCCCATTTCCTCACTTGAAAGGCCCCAAAAATGTGTGACCTGGTTGCAAATGTATTTTAAAGGTAGAGAAAATAGTTAAACATCTATAACAATTAATGTATTACTTATCATGCATGCCTACTATCTCATATCCTATGTAACGACATAGTAACTCCGAGAGTTGCTATCTTCACCCTCATTCCGTGACTCAATTTCGTGCCAGCTCTTCCATCTCCTCTGTGCTCCGGGCCTTTGCCATCATCAAAGCCACCTTTTGAGTCATCTGAGCTTTCTGAGCACATCTTCCCTCTCACTTCTTGGCGATACAGCATTTTTGGAATCTGGAGGATGCTTTCGATGGAATTTTTATCCCAAGCCTGGAGCACCTATTTGCATAACATTAGGGCAGCTGGTTGTTCATTCATCTCAGAGGTGTGGCGCGTGCGCTCCATAATGTAACCACGGATGGTGTGGCTTTCTTAAGTGTCCTTAAAAAACCTGTCCACATCTAATTGCAAAGCTATGGTGCCGTACCCTGGGGACCTGGTTCCAAATTTAGTAAAACTTCTTAGCCTCAGATGACTTTAGTGAATGACCAAAACGACCACCAATGGAGCTTATGCCAGGTAATGAATCTCATCCAAACAGCATTTGATTGTTCACAATAAAATAATTAAGAATATCCGATGACATGAGAGATGGTGTGAGGTCTTGAAAATAAAGTCTCTTGTCCCAGGCTGCTGGGCAGTGTGGAGGGACATCACAATGTATCCAAATACAGAGGTCCGGGCAATTACATTACATGAACTCATGTTCTCCTCAGAATCACCCATCCATTTTACAGATGAGCAACTGAGGCTCTGAGCAGTGGAAGACCCCAGGGTGTGCACCCGCCCCTGGTTACTACACTGTCACCCTTGACAGGTGTGGGCTATACCCCGGGGCATAGCTGGTAAACTCCCTCACCAATCAGGAAACCCTAGGGGAGAGAAGCCCCAGCAGACCTAACTACATGGCAGGGTCCTCTCTCTGCTCCCCAAGCTTGGGAAGCAAGGGATAAACTCTACCACCCCAAATGAAAACTTCCATAAAGAAACACAGTGAAAGATTTTTTTGCACGTAGTGACCTAAGACCACTCCAGATGGACAAACAAATGCCTGCAAGCAATTTAAAAATGAGACATAGGGGCCTTCCTGGTGGCACAAGGGGTTAAGCACTGCACTATGAAGCAATCCACAGCATCTGCTGCATGAGTTCAATCCCCGGCCAGCCAGGGAGCTACCCACATGGTGCAGCAGACCTCTCCTGGCTCGCCCGCTGCTCCCCTCAGCAGTGTATTTCAGTTAGTCTGCCTGTTCTGTTCCCCACTCTGTCTCTGGTGAATCCTCTCACCACCACCCCTGCATCTCTGGCCTGTACCCCAGCTCTTATATGCATAAATAAATAAATCT